CCTGCAAGACACGAGGAAGGTTGTTCGACTCAGCATGCCTGGAATCTGTTTGCGTTGTTGATCATCGCGATTGCCGCCGCGCTTCGGGAGGCAGCGTGGCCGTGCTGCCACGCGGCGTGCCTGCGGTCTTGCACAGCCGTTGCGTTGGAGATTGAGGATCTCGTGTCGGGACAAGATCGGTAATGAGGCGGACGAGGGGGCAGAGGAGGACAAGAGGATGGGCTTGAGGAGGAGGTAGATGGGATCAGGAGGGGGCAGTGGGACAAGGTATTGACATGCTTGGGCGAACTAGGTTTGCGGGACAGAACAGAGTGCGGGACAGAACAGAGACAACGGTTAAGAACGCGCAGCCACACGAAAGAGCTCTTGCGATCTAGCTCTGCAAGAAGGGATCGGCGATGTGCCCCCCCATGTACGATCGCCACGCAGCGAAAAGAGCATGAAGGAGATTCGATCGCCTGGGGGTGTAAACACATCCATATGGACGAACACCAAGTATGCGCGCAGGTTCGTTTCCAGATCCAGCTGGGCGCGGCGCGGGCCGATTTCGATGAGCATTCGACATGCGGATCCGAGCCGGCGTAGAACAGTTTAGATGTACAAGCTTGTTGTTCTTGGTAAGTTGACAAATCGTTTGTCTTCTTTGTGGCTCAGCGTTGCTGGGCGTAGGTGGTTCGGTAGCTTCCATTGCCAGTGCTTCCGCGCCATTCGGGGGATTGCTCCCGCCTCCATCTTGAGGGTGAGCAACGCTGCATGTCTTTGCGAGACAGGGCAGACCCTTGTGATGGACGCCACGCCACGGCAGCAGCTCCTCCTGGGAACAGCAGCAACGGCACCAGTGGGGAGCGTGATGAGAGAATCCACATTCTGTCCAAAGCCTTTCTGGCCAGATTCTTAAGGCCTCTCTCCCTTCTCTTCATCTGGTTTCGCCAGTCCGCTGCCGTGCTTGCTCCCCCTTTGTTATGAGGAAAATCCTGGAGGCCTCGCGAGGCGCGTAATAGTAGTTTTATCTAGTCCACGTCAGCTCCGTACGCCGTAAGCTATGGGTCGACGCTCGCGCGGCGATGCTCTGGAGTCAGTCCGACGTAAACCGGATGTAATTCCGACGTGAACCCGACGTAAATCCGACGTGGACCCGGCGTAGAGCGGGTCTCGAATGCCGCGCGAGGTCTCCAGCATGTTCCTCATAACCTGTTTCTTCCGAAATTCGAGTGTTTTCACGTGTCGGGCCCTGGAAGACACTCGTTCGACATTGTTTCGACACTTTTCGGGGTGCTCGAACTTGTTTCTGGGTTGTGGTCTTTACGTACGATGGGCGCCACATAATGCGTCCTCTTCCCCTCGCCTCCCCACTCTCCTCCCCCCACCTCTCCGGCTCCTCGGTTCTGTTGCCCGGGCCCCGCCCTGGTGCGGCCGATTGCGGCGCGGCAAAATGCGCACAATGTTTTCAGCATTGGTGTCCTGTGAGCTTCTGGATGTAGATTTGAAGTCGGACGTGTCCCTCTACATGATGAATCTTCAAGCATGGTCAACAAATAGTCAGGGGACGATGTTTGTTTAGTTCTGGCTATGTTTGACTAGTGTTTGGCTATTTTCATTTTTCGTCCACACTCCGCCTATAGGAGTGCATGCCCGACCTAAATGTAGATGTGTGTTTCTTCTTCGCTTTGGGATCATCCACAGATCACCAGCTCTTGTTGTCGTAGACAGGCAGGGTACGAATCAAGGCCATTGCAAGGTCGGGCGTGGACTTCGTTCGAGTGCCCTGTCTTAGCACAGTGGTAGAATACAAGTACTGCATGCTACTGCTGAAAAATAACATTCCGACGCTTGAAATGTTACCACTGCAACGCTACAGTATTCGAATATGACAACAGTGCTTCGGTACTACGGTAGTGAAACATCCCCAGTCATAGTAGTGTTGTGCTTGCACCCGTCCCTGTGCCTCCCAAAACCAAACAGAAAGCAATCGTGCACAGCGTTTGGCGCCTTCGGTTCAAGGACATGCTGTGTATGTGTGGTTGGTTTGCTGTTTTGGAGCTGTTTTGGAATAAGACACAACGAAACACTGTGTTTGTTTGGGTGTTTTGGGAGGCAGAGAGGGGTGCTGGGAGGGAGGTCCGTTCGAGCATTGGGGCTCGCACAACCAAAACAACAACAACAAAAACAAACATTCACAGTGCTTCCTTGCATCCCAAGGTTTCCTTTCACAGGGTTTCCTTGCACCGAGGGTTTCCTTGCACCGAAGGCGCCAAATACTGTGTACGTTTGGTTTGTTCTAGTCTGGGGGGTGCAGAGAGGGGTGCTAGGAGGGAGGTCCGTGCGAGCATTGGGGCTGGCAAAACCAAAACAACAATAAAACAAAACTACGCAGTGTTTCCTTGCATCCCACACCAAAAAACAGAAACACAAACAACAAACACACATACACAAGGTTTTTTTGCACCGGGAGCGCCGCGAGGAGGAGGAGGAAGAGGAGGGGGAGCAGGAGGAGGAGAAGGGGGAGGAGGAGGAACAGGACGAATCATGCGAAGAATTCATACGTAAAAGAAGCCAGCAGGGAAAGCAGAAGAGGCCGACACAGAACAGAAACAGAGAAAGGTATGATCTTGGGGGGGGCGACCATATATACATATAACGGAGCACCGGGTCTGGGGGCCCAGGGCCGCGACCACGACCGCAAATGTGTGTGCCCAGGCTCTTGGGGCGTCCCTGAGGCCCTCAAAACGCCCCAGGAACGCGCCAAGAGAACCCGAAGACGCCCCCAGACGGACCCAAGACACCCAAAGGCCGCTCCAAGATGCCCACGATCGCCCCCAAGACACCTCCAGAGGCCTCGCAGACGCTCTAAGCAGCCCCCGAGAGGCCCCCCAGGACGTCCCCAACATGCAAAAATAGCCCCATTCCCTGGGCAAAACGTACATTTTCAGCATATTGATTGTTTTCGCTGTCGTACCGTTCTTGACGACATCAGAAGTCCCCAAGACCGCCCCAAGACGTCTCAAGAGGCGCCCCCGAGGGCCCCAAGACGACCCAAAAGAGCCCCAGGACGGCCCAAGAGGCGCCCAAGACCGCCCAAACGGGCCCCCAAAGGCGCCCAAGAGAAGCCCAAAATTGGGAAATCCAATGGACAATTCGAGCTTTCCGCAAAAAGAGGCGCCCGGGAGGCCCCAAGAGGCCCCGAAGAAGCCCCAAGAGGCCTCCAAGAGGCCACCCAGACGCCGCAAGAAGGCCCCACGAGGACCCCCGAGAGAGCCCTGAGAGCCAACAACTACTTATTTTCCGTAGATGTTCGAAGGATTTTGGTCATCTCGCCTTCTCGGGTTCCCGACGCTCGAAAACAGCCCAAGAGGCCCTCAAGATCGACCCAAGGAAGCCCGGTCCAGGAGTCTCTAGCGACGCACGGTGCGTTTTAAACCGCCCGGGAGGCCCCCAAGACGCCCCAAGAGGCTTTTAAGATGCCGCCCAAGAGCGCCCCGACAGGGCAAAATCGTTGATTCCAATTTGTTGTTTTAAAATGTTTTTTGTATTCTCGCTGTTTCGTGTTTCCGGCGCTAAAGCACCGCCCAAGAGGCTCCCAAAACCGCTCCAAGACGGCCAAGACGGCGCATCAGGCGCCCTCAAGTCGGGCCTCCACGCAGCCAAGACGGCCAATGACGGCTTCTGATTGCAGAACATCACCTTCCGGCTGCCCAGAGAACCCGAACAATGCTCACAAGGGGCCCCAAGAAGCCCCAAGACGCCCCCCCAAGAAGCACCCAAGAGGTGCCTCCAACAGCAAGTTGAGGAAGCACGGAGAAACCCCCAGAAGCCCTTCAGATGCCCCCCGAAGACCCAAGAGGCCCTCAGGAGGCACGACTATATCACGCGCCTGTGCTTGATAGCGCTGTCCAAGATCTTCCAGCGCCCCCCCGGCCTGGGCTAGAACTTGCGCGCGCGCGAAGCGCGCGCGATGGTTTTTAGTTTTTATATGTATATATGTACACACTCGCATGCCACATGTAATCCGTCGATATCGATGCGTTTGACGACACCTGTATATATGTATCCACACTTGTGTGTATATATATATATGTTTTCCTCTCTCTCTCTCTTTGTACGCATGTCTATGCATATCGACTGTCTCTCTCCGTGCAAGGAAGCCCGAACCCTCAATCGGGAGCCAGGAAACCCAGCTCCTCACCCAAACCAGCCCGGAATGTGGAATTGGGAATTGAGGAACCCAGCCGCCTAACATGCGTGTTTAGTATGTCAGTCTCCGCCAGAACCTGTTCATTGCAGACACTTTCGAGGAAGATGTTTTTGCCGAATGCTGATCTGTGTTTGCGTATAGATACACAGGGAGCAGCCGTCGGCCCATCCCGCAGCCGCGCCTGGCTTGTCGGCCAGGGGCATCCTGGATGCATCTTGTGATCTCTTGGGAGGCCTCTTGGAAGCTTCTTGGACTCGGTTTGGGATTTCTTTGGGGCTTATTTGGGCCTACATCGATATACGAATTGGTATACTGTTCTCTCTCTCTCTCTTTCTCTCTTTCTCTCTCTCTCTCTCTTTCTCCCTCTCTCCCTCTGTCTTTCCCTCTTCCTTTTTCTGAAAGTTGTTGTGTATGTCTACGGGCTCGCTTTCAATCAGACACCGCAGAACCCGGCCGCCCAGTCAAATTCGGAATCCGGGAACCAGGCTGCCCACCGCAATCGGGACCCAGGAACTTGGGAATTTTGAACAGGGAACCCGGGAATCCGGCCGCCTGCCGAAACCGGCGAGCTACATTTTATTCCATCATCCCGGTATCCGCTAGGACCTGATCAGTGCAAGTATTGATTGGGAAATTCGTGTTGAGATCAGGGGGGCTCGCTCTTGCTTGGCCCTCCTGCCCTGCCACCCTTCCGCGTCCTCCATCTCTTACTGCCGATTTCCCCTCCGCTTTTTCCTATGAGCCCGCCCCTCCCATCCATCCCTCACCCATCCTCTCCTGCTGCTCGTGCGCACGCGTTAACCGCATTGCCTCCCGCCTTTTCTGTCCTCCCTCTCTCCTTCACTTATTCTCCCTCCCTACTCTCTCCTCGCTTCCTCCTGCCTCCTCCGAGGAGCAAGCGAGGAGGCTCGAGGAGATGGCCCGGAAGCTCGAGGACGCCGCGGGAGCTTGGCCGATTTGGCCGCATTTTCTGCAGACTTCGCCTTGTATTGCGAGCGGTTGCCTGGTTCGTTCGCCTCGTCGCCACCGCTGGATTCGCCTCGGAGTTCTGGTCAGAACGCAACCCAGGAGAGGTCCATGGAGTAGCGGTATTGGTGTGTGTTAGTGCCCTCAGGGACCAGGGTTGCGCCGTGGGTATTCGCGAGGTGAAAGAGGGAGAGGAGGACGGGAAGGCGTAGGGAGGAGGTGGAGGAGAGTCCTCCTCCTCCTCCTCCTCCTCCGGCCGCCTGGGACTTTGCCGTCACGTCTGGGCTGCGCGCCGATCTCCTCACCATGTCGACCGCTTCGTGCAGCGCGGCGATGGGGGCGCGACCACATATCTGCGTTAGAAGTGGTCGGCCCTGACTGCGAAGGCCTGACAGCCGGGGCCGCCGACCCTGAGGAGGACGACGTCGGCGACGAAGTGGGCGGAGACGGAGGCCGTGGAAGATGATGAAAGGGAGGCGAGGAGGAGGGGGAGGAGGAGGAAGAGGAGACAGAGGAGACAGAGGAGGAGGAGGAGGAGGAGGAGGAGGAGGAGGAGGAGGAGGAGGAGGAGGGAGGAGGAGGAGGATGAGAAGGGGAGGAGGAGGAGGAGGGAGGAGGAGTGGAGGTGGAGGTTGGAGCAGGAGGGGGAGGAAGAGGGGGGAGGAGGGGGGAGGAGGAGGAGGAGAAGGAGGAGGAGGAGGAGGACAGGAGGAGGAGGAGGAGGAGGAGGAGGATGGGAATGGGAATGTCTGTTCACTAAGTGAAAAAAAGGAAGAAAAAAGCCTTATCCCAGGGAAGTATCCTTCCGAGCAGAGGCCAGCCGATTCTGTTGTTCGGTCTTACTCAACACTTTAGGTTGAAGGCCCAGCTCTATTCTACGAAGGTACTCGGTTCCCGTGGGTGAGGCCTTAAGACTACACTCTTTGTGAAGGTTACACTTCCTCTGACTGGCACAACTACCGCAGACATGACAGAACCATAACTGAAGCTTAGTACATAGTCTCATACTGTGGCTCTTATGGACCCAGCCCCCCCCTATGTGAATATTGTCTTCAGCCCCGAGGGTGAAAAAAGAACCGTTTATATTCACAGGGTGAAAACACGGGCTGGCCTTCCAGAGGCCTGCGGTGGCCAGGGAGGCAGTACCAAAACACCTGGTGCAGCTCTTGCCGCTCTCCGACAAAACATGGGAGGTAGTGAAATTAACTACAACTGACTTAGCAGGAGGTGGGGGAGGAGGAGGGAGACGCTTTCCTCTCAAATGTCCAGCTCCTGCACGTACACTGTCCAGAGCAGCATGCAGTAGCCGATGTCTGAGAAGGTACGTTTCATTCTCCAGAACCTGTATACGATGTCGAACTCCTGAATCCAATCGAACTTCCTGCGCCATCAGTCCCACAATCTCATCGATCACTGTGTTGCCAATGATCTGCCACGCTGGGACACGACTTGAAACCATCTGCTCAGCCCCTTGGTGGGAATGTACAAATATAACTTCGATAAGTGATGCACTCTTAGTCTGAAGAATCTGACCAATCATCGCCCAGATGTCAGCATCCTCCCCCTTGGGGTTGAGATACAGCTGGGCGTTCCATCCTTTGAATACATTCTCGCAGTCTGTGATGAATTGCGTATGTCCACGACATGTGAATACACAGAGCCAGAACGCCTTGAGTTCACCTCTCGCAACGGTCTGCCTCAGACCTGCGAGCCCTCCAGCAATTGAACATACAATAATAGTATCATCTAATACCTGGTTGACGACTGCGATGCCGAGCGCTACTCGGCGCAGTCGGGGGTCCGCAGTGTCTGGGCCCCCGCTGGCATCTCCAAAAACTCGCGTCGGTGCACGTTCAGATCCTGCTGGTAAACAATCCGCTGTGAAACCATGACTGAGCCCTTCCACCTGCCAATCATCTGCAAACTGTGGGGACGGTGTGTCAGTCCACGCCAGCGGGATGAGGCCTCGATACCAATAACATGGTTGAGACTCACCTTGACTAGATGCACGAGGGATCATGAAATCGCTCTTGTCATACACAGGGTTGTCTTTGTTAGAGCAACATAACCATGATCTGTGCAAAGAAGTCTCTTCATGCTCCTTACACCTGTCACAAATACCATTCAAGCTCGGGTCCTGGACCGACTGCAAGGGTTTCAACTCAGCCTTCTTCCTTGCTTTGGTCCAGGCTCCTCCGATAGCAATGTTGAGCAACAATCCAGCCAACCGCCTCCCTTTTCCAGGGATACTATTGAGTTGTTTGAGCAATCTGCGATATGAATAGCTGTCGGTTCCATCTTGAAGTCCTTCACCCTCGTGATGTTTGCAAGCGCTGATCCAGAATGGTTTCATCGCCGCCGCACGAAGATCAACATAGAATTCCTTGAAACTAGCCTCATCTATCGCCTCAACGCCCGTGAAGTTCTCGTCGGGGAATTCCCATGCTGTCATGCCTGGGGGGTCCCACGCTGTCGGTGAGCGAGGAATCCAACCAATCCCTAATAGATGACACAGCACTGCAGAAAGAGGTCCTCGTATATACCTTGATCTCTGCGCTTGAGGTATAGCTTCCAATTTCTGGCGAAGACGAGGCCATGATCGAATGATGCCCGCTCGGGACTCGGGCCGTGTACGCCAGTTGTGCAGCCACAGCGCGAAGGTACCTTGAATGAAACGTGCTGCGGGGTCTTGGCCGTGAGCTTCCAACTCGAGAAGTGTCGTGAGACACCGTCCCCTGCCCCGCGCATTACAAGCAGCGCCCAGTCGACGTCGATATCGAGTGAGCTCCTGTCCACATACTCCGAAGATCTCATATCCATAACTACCTGCAGCTTGGGCGCCCTGGCGCTCCAGTCGAGAAGTAATCGCTGTCCTACGAATAACCTTCTTGTACTTGACCACCTTCCTGTGACGATTGAGGTGCCGTGCAGCACGCTTCCGTCGTTCAGCTCGAGAATGCCTAACTCCTGCTCCCAGGTCGACGCCCAGGTAGCTGGTAGATCTGGCCGCCGTCATTGTGATCCCCCGAAGTCTCAAGGTTCGAACCACATCCCTGGCCAGACTCAACTTGGTGCAGACCACTGTCGACTTAGATGCCACCTTGAGACCCTGACTGTGGAGGCCTCTGGCGGTCGCAGCCACGCACTGAACTAAATCCTTCTTGACCTGGGACTCCGACCCCATCGTGGTCTGCGAGATATCGTCTATCCAGAGTCGGTGCGAGCACCGAACTTGCGATGTGGTGATCACCTCCATGATGAAAAATGTCATCGCTCTGGCCAGTCTAGTACCAGCTCGCAAGCCTTGAATGATACTACATGTCGGCTCGAACGCCATCGAAAAGGAACCAATCTGATTGAGTGTGCGCGGATGGGCGCATTGTAATAGCTCCATGTACAAGATCGTGGGTGGGAAGCCCAGTCTGAGGGCCGCTCTGGAAAGCTTGAGCCATAGCATATTATCGTAGTAGCCGTCAATGTCGGTGAGGGCGTGTCCATACGATACATTGAGGATACCCGCGACCTCCTCATCCAAGGCTCTCCTGAAAGCCTCCCTCAAGGACGAGTTCCCACGGACCGCTGCGTCCCACGAAGGCTCAGTCCGACTGGACCACGCCTTGGACCAGGGCTCCCTGGACATACTCCATACCCTGGATAACATCGTGATGAGCCCGATCACCCTGTCTCCCGAAATCTTTTTGGGTAGAAGTCGACCGATGACTATCATTGTCTGCACTGGCCAGGCGAGGAACTCCTCGGCTGTGTTGAATAGGGTAGCTAATTCAGCAACTCCTGCATCTGGGAGTCGCTCGATATCACATGGTGTGAGTTGGTCCGCTCCAAGACCAGCACGAGGTTTCATGGCTCTGAGAGCCTTGCGAACTTCAGGGACACAGGCCTCGTCGCCGTCCTCCCGAGCGGTCCCGTAGCTTTCCCTGGACGCGGCCCTCCAGTCGAAGTCGAGGTGCTTCCAGTTCGTCCGTCTGTCCGCCCACGAGCGCAGCCGTGGGGCTGCTACGTAGGGCAACTTGCCCAGGAGATCGACCGTGGGGCCGTCTCGCGGGGCGTCGGTCTTCCCAGCAGGTGCCGTGGGGCTGTGCTGCTGGGGTCGGTTGTGGTTGTCTGGCCAGCTGATGTCGAGTCTGGCTCTTCGTCGGTCGTTGTGGGAATGTCAGTGCTGGTTGTCGTCGGTCTTCTCGTGCGGGTGCTCAGACGTAGCTGCCGTCGGGGACCTCGCACGTCTTGGTGTTGCTGGAGTCTTGGCTGTGACGATTGGCGGCTGCTCGTTGGCGTGTTTCCTTCTCGCTCGTACCACGTAGTCTGCTCGTGACCTGGGTGGTGGTGGTGCACACTGTTGTTCGAGCTTCTCCGATATGTAGTGGCGCGCCACGCTTCCGCATTTGTAGCAGTAGAAGCCTTGGTCACGTTTGTGCCATTCCATCTGGTGGGGGTAGTGGGCGCAGCGTCCTTTGAGCGTCCGAAGTGGTTTCTTTGTGGCTGTCGTGTTACCGCATGGCGAAAGTAATCACCACCTTGCTGTCGTGCTGCGTCGTCGTATGGCTGACTGTGCGCAGGTTCTGCATCGCCAGCCTGTCCGAGTAGGTTGGACTTGATGTTGGCTCTGAGCGGCAAGTTCGTCGAGGGTGGGTGCTGGTGGTCTTCGAAGTTTGGCTTCTTTCCTTAGCTGTGCTCGTTCTTCCCAGCTTATTGGTGGTCGTCGTTCCATGCAGTCTAGAGTGGCGTGTGTGATGCGCTGTCTGACTAGGTTGCCAACTGCTCGTGCCCACTCGTAGCACCCGAGTTGTGCTGCTGGTAGTGCATGCTCCTCTGCTGCTGCGTCTGCTTGCTCGTCTGCTGCGCGGTTGCCGTGCCATGCCCATTCTGGAATGTCCCGTCGTCGAGCGTCTTCCCAGTCGAGGTGGCTTTGCATATGTCGTATCGTGATGCAGTCGTCGCTTCCTCCCCGTTGGT